CAGAAAGCTGAGTGTGCATATAACTAGTCTGTCTGGAGGGCAGACCTCATGCCAAGAGGTGCAGATATATCTCTCTTGCTCATGGACCAAATGGCTTGAAAATATGCTGCTTCTATGTTGTCAGTCACTGCTGTGGCTCTTTTACTTAAAATGTGTTTGTGAAAAGGACTGGGGAACTTGGATGTGGTCACAGAAATCTGTTCTTCTGTGTCCCTTGCCATTTATTTGTGAGAAGAGTCAATGAAGGAAAAAGAGGAGGGCAGTCAGCAAATGGTGTCTGTAGCTCAAGAAATCCCTTAATTTGAAGCCATTATGCAGCAAGCATTTAATGAAACCAAGACCTTTTCCCATTGCAGTTTCTCTCATCTAAGCGCAGTTGTGATTTTTAATGTCCTGACTATAAGTAGCTATAGGTTTTAGAACTATTTTTCAAACTTTATTGGCAATCAGTTTGCGAAGACAGTGACAGCTCTCTGTCCACATGGATGGGTTTATGAGCTGTGTTGGGGTGAGAACAGCTTTCCAGCCTCTTTTGAGCCACTTGTTGGATCTGTTTCTTTCACGATACCCCAGATGTTAAATTTGCCCTTAAGTACATCGGTCCCCTCAACAAGATGGTCGCAGCTACTTTCCAGGAAGGTCACCTGGAGCCCTGCGGGTGACTGCACCCCTCATGCCTTGGCAGTGCCTGAGAGGGTGCAAAGCATCCAGACATCCCACCTGTGGGAAAGGGAGGCACAGCTGGCCTACACAAGGTCTGCCAGTAGCCCATAAAAGAATTGCTGATTGCTAAGTGTTGCATGGCATCTTCTTCCCCATCCCCATCCCCTGGCCCTGCCCCTGGTATGTGGAGAGGTACCATCTCTTGTGCAGGGAGTCCTGAGGGAGAGAGGAGGAGTGGGTGTCACTTCCCATCTGGGGAAGGCAGGGCAGCTCATGTTCAAAGAATCACAGAAGCACAGAGGTTTGGAGAGATGCTTTGAGGTCTGCAGTCCAATCTTCTGCTCAGAGCAGCTCCAGTTGGATCCCATTGCGCCAGGCTTTATTCAGTCACATTTGGATACCCTCAAGGACAGAGTCTCCACAGTCCCTCTGGGCCCCTGTGCCATGTCTGAGCAGCCTCATAGTGATGATATTTTCCTTTTATTGAGTTGTGATTTCTCCTGGGCCTAATGCTGCTCCTTCAGCTGTAGGCACCAGTCAGGTCCACCCCAGACTCTTCTCTTCTTGATGCAGACCAGAGACAAACACTAACAGTGTTCAGGGAATAGAACAAATGTTGTTTTGCAAATTGCTAATAAATGAGTTTTCCCAGTTTTGAATAAGTTTCATAATTAAAATGCTCCTATCATTTTAGAGTAAGCACTTGTGTACGTTTTGTTGCCGTATACTACTGCTTTTGCTTCTCCTGATTGGTTGTGCCTTGGGGAAGGCAGCATTTAATCTGTGGGGAGGAGAGCAAAGATCATAAAAAACAGTAAAAAGCCTGGGAGGAAGATCAGTACCAAAGCATGTGTTTTCTCGCTGATGTGTGAAGTACTGGTGCTACTTCAGATAAAGCAACTCAATTCATAATGCCAAATTCTGTGTTGGAATTTCATGTGCCATTGCCTGCAAATGAGGTGGGAAATAAAAATTTAGGAAAATGGTAATAATGTTAAATACTGCTAATGCCTCAGTAGCAAAATAACTTCTGTTCTCTAATAGTTTTGGTCCTTCATGCCCTGGTGGTTTATCTGTTTGTTTTTTTTCTTTGGTTTGCAATTAATTTCGGATCTTTCTCACTCCAATTTTAATTTTCTTGGTGTGGCCACACTTTGTTACGATTACTTCTTTTTGATAAATGCTCCATTTGCTCTTTGCCTTCTGTACCTCCTGCTGTTCTGGCTGTTTTTTTCTTTTTTTTTTTTTTTTCCTGTTTTCCGTATTTCCTAAGTGGGTATCGGCACAAAAATGTGAAAAATTATGGAGGTAGTGTTGCACCTTCATCATGTATAAGAGTCTCCTTTGACTGGCAGTGGTGCTTAGTAGCCTGTGGATGTCGTAAATGCATGATTTTTCTTTCTCTGAACCTACTAAACATCAGCTACGGGAACCAGTGGAGAAAACGGAATCGGGAGAGGACTGTGGACTGTAGCAGCACTCTCAGTCGGGGGTAGGAAGATTACTTGCTTTAGAAATGTGACAACCACTTGGACTGGTTTACTGGATTTAGATAATTTTTGTTCTCAATACTAGTTAGTGAAATTTTTCATTGTAATTATATTAACAGTGTAGTATTTTGAGGGTCAGAGGAAAATTGTTATCTGCACGGATCAGTGTGAGATTTGTTCAGAAAGGTTCTGTAAAATCAAGTTAGCTCCTAAGTCACCTACCTCACTGCATAAGTACGAGTGTTATGTCTTTCCCCCCTGAGATAGGGAGGTGGCGCTGTTGTATGGATATTTTTATTCCCCTGGATGAATGAAGTGGTAATTCTCGAGTTCACAGGTTTCCAACGTAGTAGCATGCACACCTTTGCCTGAACCATTTTCCTTTCCCTGAGCAGCATGTCGTTCTCTTCCTGAATGCACCATACCCTTCTTCCCTGAAGCTCCCATTCTGCTTGCTCTGGTGGAGATATTGCACATTACTAAGTTGCATGTTGTCACGGCCTCAGTGCAATTTAGTGTGTGCGATACTTTCACATGAGTGCATGCACACGGGTATGGCTGTGGCTTAAAGTTACTGCAGCTTTCGATTTTGGTGAGGCCTAATGCCATTGTGAAAGGGTCTTAAATCCAGATCCGTATTTTGAGCGATGCCTTGAAACGTGTGTTAGTGGA